GCCTGATCGCCTTTAGGCAGGGGAACTAGTAATTCGGCTGGTGGTGGGGGTAGAAAATCTCCATAACCGAGAGTAGTTTCCACTGAGACGGCCGGTGGGCCGTCAAGCTTGCTTGTGCCCTTTCCAGTGGCAATTCGACAGTGTTCCTGGAATCTAGGTTGGTTTATCAATGATTCATTTGCCTCCTCGAGTAGTTTAGCGCGTTTTCGAAGAATTTCAACCTACAAGGAATGGATATTAACAAAACACTTGCGATCACTTTGGCACGTTGGTACAGCTAGACTGTCTAACGCGTGTTACTGCCCCTACTTCATTTCCAGTTACAAATAGCGAGCACCGTTTGCATAATGAATCTTAAACAAATTTAGTTACCTCGCGGGGAAAGCGTTCGTGATAGCAGTCTTAAGGCGTCATCTTACCAGCTCGCTTGTTGCATCTCTCAAGAAAGGCAGTCTTGTGAATACGTCTTTCTTTTCAGCGGTTAAGGTAGCAGGCCTCTTGGTGCGTTCGTCAATATTCTTGAGGATGAACCTCTCTGGGTATACGTTTTCAAGAAGCGTGTTCTGCAGCTGTTGGAGTTCTGCTTCGAGAGTTTCAGGAGAGCAGATCCGTCGTAGTCTAGCTGCTAATCCTCGGACTAGATTTCATTTTATATTTAGGGGAACAAGAATGTGAAAGTTTGTGTATTGTCCCGTGCGGGTTTTCTTTCGAAATATCCTACGCAGGATCGATCCATCATTTTGCCTTTGCAGGACATCGAGGAATGCAATTTCATTATCAACCTCAGTCTCTGCAAAAAACCTGAGCGCTGGATGCACGCTTTTAAACTTCCTGACCATGGCGTCAGTGTCAGTGTTGTAGCCTGTCAGACAGAAGATATCATCCATATATCGACCGTAAAATGCAAGGTCATTGATGCTGTCTCTTAGACTCGTTCTCTCGATTTTGCCCATAGAGACATTTGCGTGGAGTGGGTCAAGTGGTGAGCCCATCGCCACGCCATCTGTCTGTAGAAGCTGCCATTGCAGAGAAATTGCACATTTTGCGTGCACCGCTTAAGTAATTCTTCGAGGGTTTTCACGGGCGTGCCCACCTGTTGCTGGATTAGGTGGCCTACTTTCTTAGATACCAGGGAAGTCTGTTAGACATTTACCTGATAATAGTCTTATTCCTCTTTACAGGCGAAGTCTCTAAATCCACGTACCCCAGGAATATGTTGCTGAGTGAGAGGGACTCTGTGACTGTCCCTGTTTAGTGTGTCATCTTTGCTCGTTTGCTTACGATGCTGTTTAAAAATCGTAGGTCAAGTCTGGGTCTGTAGGGATGGCAGGCGTATGTCGCAGCTCAGTAGACAAGGCGTTCGAACGCAAATTCCGGTTGGCTTGCAGTTCGAATCCGTCCCGTCGACTCGAGATGCGCGCAGTCCAATGAGTTAGACAAAAAGGATT